GGGGAGAAGGCCACAACAAGGAGAAGCCCGCAAACCGCAAAAAAAAAAAAAAAAAAAAAATGCTTTCCTGAAATAGTTTCCTGCCTCTGGCTTACATAGACCATGAAATACTGGCTGGGGGTTGGGCGGAGTGGCTGCAAAATTATTGCACTATAAACATTTATGAATGAGGTAGCAAAATATAAGAAATCTAGTGGGAATTTTTCCATACTATTTCCCACTAGCAATGATATATTTTATTTCACTGTTGCCAGGTGTCTCCATTCTGTAGTCCCCATGTTCTGATCAGAACTGTTGAACCTAGGTGAGCAAAAGTGTAATTGTTCACAAGAAGCATTAATTTATATCAAAATATGATCATGCACAAGGAGGGAGAAGACCTTTAATATCCTCCTACTCTTATCCTTATTTCCATTTTGTCTAATCTAATTGTCATCACAGTGATCCTTTTAAAACATAAATAAGATCACATCATTCCCCCCCACTTAAGCCCTTCAACAAGAGTTTATCACCACATTTAAAATAAAGCCTGCAAGTCCTTCATGAGATGTCCTTAGGTTGTCTCCCCATCTCTTGCTCTCAGTTACTCCTCCTCAGTCACAATGACCCTTTGCTCCTCCTTTAACAAGTCAAGCAAGCTCCGGCCTCAGGGCCTTTGCACTTGCTCTTCCCTCTTCCTCAGTAACTTTCCAGATGTTCCCATGTTTTGTTCCATGACGCCATTCTGGTCTCTACTCAAATATCACCTCCTAAGAGAGATCTTCTCTGACCACCTTTAGAATAAAATTCTCACCCCTTGTTACCATCTATCCCAAATCCATGTTTTGTTTTCTGTTCATAGTACCTGTCACTTATCTCAAGTTATATACTCATTTGTTAATTTTAAATTATCTGTCACTCCTCACAGGCCAAGGTTGTGCCTGATGCTCAGCTGTTTCCCTGACACCTAGAACAGTGCCTGACACTGCTATGCCAGTTATTGTTAATTATTGCTGTCTTTAACGTTTTTTTTTTTTTTCATTTGTTTCAATGTGCAGTATGCTGCAGAATAATCACCTAAGACAGGTACCCACAGAAGCTCTACAGAATTTGCGAAGCCTTCAATCACTGTAAGTATAGTTGAAATTCCAACATGTTCTCAGGATCAGTTTGGGAAGGAGCATTGAAATGTCCAAATGACCATTTTAGTAAGTTCCTTGGGTGGGGACCATACCTAAATAAGTTGCCAGTGAGAGTTTCCATTAGAGCAACAATTCTTTGAATCCTCATTAAACAATATGTATGAGAGAGACCAATGTTGGGGTTTGAGGTTTCAGGGCAGAGACTTAATCAGAAAACATGCAATGAAAAGCCTCTTGTATATGTTGGTATCACAGGACAAAAATCCAGGACCTTGTCCTATACTCCCCTATACAGTATTTTAGCTCCTGAATTCAAATCAGGAATAATACTTTCTCCTTTTATCTAGAAAAATGAGAGTCAAAATCTAGACCTCTTGGCATCTTCAGTTTCTTCTGTTTTTAGGTTATCTGAGCTGCCCTGTAATGCAATTTTGCTGAGTCAAATAAAGGCTTAATTTTTTTAGTTCTGTATGTATACCAGGGGTCCTCAATTCAGGAAGCTAAGATCTAATGGTATCTCTTAAAGTCATACTGGGCAGGTCTACTAACCAGGAGCTTCCTCACCGCCACACACAGACGTACAAACATATTCACAAACAGTCCCACAGATATACACACATATACCTCAGATTCACACACCACACACAGACACACAAACACACACAGCAATGGAGTTGGTGTTCCTTACTCTGAATCCACAACTTTTCCATCAGGAGTTTCCACCGTCCTCTGATTTAAAACCTCTGAATGAATAAAAAGTAGTTATTCCTCACACAAAGAACTTTCTCACCAGCTAGATGTTTTGGAGCTTGGGTTGTAAGCAGTGGTTCACAGTGATTATTTGGCAACACTATGCCATGAGTTCTTGATCAGTATCTGCATCTCATCAGAATGTATGAGTGTATTGGAAATGTTGCATGATTTCCAATATCCACATGTGTGATATATGTTTTCATCTTACTTACACTGGAGGTCCTCATCTGTCAAACAAGATACTGGTTTCTGGTCTAGAATGATGAGGGAGATAAATGCATAAAAAAGGCAAATAAATATTGCAGACTCGAGTTGAACATCATTGTAAAGAATACACCGGTTAACAATTACACATAGTTTGCTTAATGTCTTTTACTGAGGTGATACAAGAGAAGGAGGAACGTGAGATCTGGAGATGTTACTTTCTTCCTTTGATCTTTTTTCTTCTTTTTTAATGAAAGCAAATCTGTGCTTGAGACCATTTTAAGCTTTTTATTCCAGTCGAACAAAGTGACTTCCTAGGTTCTCACCAGCCTAGAGATAAACAAGCCCACAAGAGCCCCTTTGTGGCAGGGGGTGGGTCTGCTGCATTTTCAGGAACTTTGTAATGACATCACAGTATCACTCCCCCTTTGTGGCACAAGCCTTTTCCTGAAGGAAAGAACCAGCCAGAGCAGCAAAACACCCTGGAGGTGGGTTATCTGTGTCAGGGCACGGGGTCTAATGGCTGAATTGAAAAACGAGATAATAGCAGTGGCCAATAGGATCTTTAAACAGCTGTGAGGCAGGCGGAAGATAGAAGGATAAGAGTTTGTAACCAAAAGCCACTATCAGCTGAAAGAAGATCACAAACAGAACACCCACAGAAGTGAACCCTTTGAGAAAGCAAAAACCATGAATCTTTTGTTCGCTCGAACTGGGTGGTGCCTCTCTGATCAAGGTGTTCAGATTTAGTTTCTTACCGTCTAGATATTTATTGTTCACCAGGTGTCTCTTGCATTTGGTGTCTGGTTCACAAAAACAGTGACTTTTGAAACCTTATAAATATGTGTTCCCTGTGAAAAAGCCAAGGGTTAACTTTCTAGCAGGATGCTTATCGCATCCAAACTGAGGCATCGAGATAGATCTTCAGCCCCCAGTGCACATGAGATTGTATCGGCCAATTATGTAATGTTTGTCCAGGGTCCCTTTGCCCAGAGCACGGCAGACCATGTGAGGTGCTGAATGTTGGCAGTGTGTGCAGCTATGACACTTTGTCATAAAAGTGACACTTTGTCACTTTTTGACACTTTGTACATTTTTTGTGCTACTTTGGTACAAGCATTAAGATATGACTTAAAAAACCATACACTTAACCACCAACCACACAGAAACTGTATTGTACCAACCAAAGGAGTCCCCTACCCACTCTGGAGGTTTGGGCTACTGTGAGCCCTCTTAAAGTTTTACTGTTGTCCCAGATGCAAGGTGTTTAATAGTATTTCTCCCGCTTCCTTCAAGCAGTTCCAAAAGTAAAAACAGCTTTGAGCCTAATGGTCATTGCAAGCGTGCATTCCTTATCCATTGTCCATTCGTTTTGCTTGCGTACTTCAGCCTCCGTGCTACTTTCATATCAATACAAATAACAAAGAGGGTGAAACCTGTCTCATCCATGACACCTGGGAGGCTTCCGTTCAGCTACCTATCCAGCTCTTCTTGGACTACAGTCAACCCTTAGACCTCCACTTAGCCCTTTTTTTAATGGTTCCTCTTTTCTCTTTCTTGAATTCACTCTATTTTTCTCCACTTTATTCTTTTCCTTGTATTATTCATTCACTCTCTAAGAAGCACTCTGCATTCCCCAGGGGCTGGGAGTGCATCACCCATATGCATTCCTGGCTTTGCAACTTCTAAAGGGGGGCTTCTCAATTCCGGCTGCAAAGAAGAATCATCTGGAGAGTCCGGAAGCCTAGGCTGCACCCCAGACCAATGAAAATCAGAACCTCTGAGTAGGAGACCCAAACATCAGTGTTTTCTAACTGGTTTAATGATGTAGGTAAGTGCTTCTTAAATGAAGATTGGGAAAATGAGTGTCCTAAGATGATTCGCAAATATCCTCCTGAACTCTTCAAGCTTGAAATAATAACAAAGTCCATATTTTGCATATTCCAGTATAAACTAATATGAAATCAGAGTAATGGGCCCTTTATTCAAAACGTCGCCTTGTTTGTGCTTAATGGAAATAGCTCACATCCACCTATTAGTTCTACTGACAGTCTGGGGCAGATAAAGTTAGGAGGCCACATGCTGTATTATCCTGCTATTCGAGTGTGTCCATGGACCAGCAACATCAACACCTCGCGAGACATGCAGAACCTTGGGCCCCATCTCTGTTCAGCTTGATCAAAAGCCTCATTTTAACAAAATCCTCAGGGGATTTATATACATGGTGCATTTGAGAATTAAAATTTTCAGCGTCTATGACATGAACAAAGCAGTCTACAAACCAAAAATGGTTGAGAACTACTGAAATAGATCATGGGTATACTTTGCCCCACCCATACAGACTTGGCTTCATTGAAGAAACTTTAAGAAACTTGATTTATATTGAAATTGGTAACCTTGCTCTGAGTAAGAAACAAATTGTACTTATATTTCAAGGGATGTAATTTTCATTGATTCCATGTAAACAACAAATATTTTGCTTTGTTCATAATGAAAACACATAGGTACGTTTGTGTTCTTTGAACTCTCTGCTGTTGCTTACAAACTGCTCAGCTAAAGAATAAGAGGGCTTGTCCATGTGCCAGAGCCCAGTAGCCCAGAGCCTGCCCCTGTACAATATGTACGTTAGGTTTCTGACAAGGCAATGACAGCCCAGACACCAGTTGGCCTTTTGTAATGTAATCAAATATAACTTAATTTCCTTTCTGTTTTTTGGAAAGGAATAGGAAATGTAATCAGAATTCACAGTGAATTGTATTTCACCAAAAAACTTTGGGCATTATAGTCATTTGTGGACTAGGATCAGATTACAGTGATTTGATGGAAACTCAAAACTTAACCCTCCCATAACCTCACACCTTTGTATTAATAGTTAAGAAATCGGGGGCTTCCCTGGTGGCGCAGTGGTTGAGAGTCCGCCTACCGATGCAGGGGACGCGGGTTCGTGCCCCGGTCCGGGAAGATCCCACATGCTGTGGAGCAGCTGGGCCCGTGAGCCATGGCCGCTGAGCCTGCACGTCCGGAGCCTGTGCTCCGCAAGCAGCAAAGTATAGGAACGGGACAAGGACAAAATCAAAAACACCCACAGTTATAAAAGCAGGAGCCGTCGATATTTATTAAAACTCTTACCTGCATCACCTCACTTCACCCTCGAAGAAACCTCATGAGGTGGGAGCCAAGATCATCCCTTCCTTAGTGATGAGGAAGGAGAAAACTCAGAGAGGTTAATTGACCTTCTCAAGGTCATTTGACTTTAATAGAGTCAGGCTAGAGGTAAGTCTGGGATAAAAATTCTGGTCTTCCTGGCTCCAAAATCTGCCAATTTTAGTACTATGCTATCGTGCTTCCCTGAGTGAATCCACTACAGAGAATGGGCACGCAACAGAATGCACTAATGTGAGGGGAAGGAACCTGACAGAAACAAATAGTACCTCTAGGTATATGGTTATGGAGGTTTACAAAAAGGAGGAAAAGTAGTAATGCTTCAGGACAGAAATAAAGAAATTGAGGAAGGGATGAGAACAATATTTATTCATGTGTGGACCAGTCAGACTTTTTTAGTGTTTCCCTATGCATTTGGTTGTCTATTCCCTCATTACCTGGGAGATGGAACTTGTCTCCACTTTCCTGATGAGGAAACTATAGGTGAGAAAAGGGTATCTTGTTCATATTGCAAAGGTAAGAGTTGATTAGACAAAGAGAAGAGGGAAGAACTTTCCAAAGGGAACTACATGTGCAAAACCTTGTAGTGATGGTGCGGGGAGAGGGAAGCTGGTACATCAAGGATCAGAAACAAGATCAGTGTGGCCAAAGCAGGAAGCATGAGGCGGGAAAAGTGCAAGAGCCTAGTGAGGCGGGTGAGGTCCAGACCCCTTGAAAGCTCTTTGGGACATGTCACGAATTTTAGTTTTTATTGTAAAAGCAATGAGAATCCACTGGAAGATTTTGAATAGGAAAGGGCAGGATTGGATCTGTGTTACTGAAGTAGTCTAGGAGAGAAAGGAGAACTTTGTCAGGATGGGGGCAGTGGA